TCAGGGACCGGCTCAATCTCCGCATCCACCCGTACATGGACGATTTTCTGGTCGCAGTTCAAGGTCACACCGAACTCCGCAGAGCCCAGCGGCTCCTGGACTAACTGCTGCAGAAAACCGGTCTCCGCAGAAAGCCAGGCAAAGGCTGCTGGGACGGGTCGCAACGATTGGACCACCTCGGTTTCGTGATCGACACCAAGGCTCAAGTATTCGGGATCACGGACAAACGGATTCAGAAGATTCAGGCTATCGCTCGGAAACTGCTACAACAAGCCCGACAGAACCGTCGGTTGGTGGAAACATCGTTGTTACGCCACTTCCTCGGGGTGGCCATCTCATGCTCTCTGGCCATGCCTCTCGCCCGCTTCTACACCCGTTCACTGTACGACTCACTACGGGGACCAACGAAGCGGCGCGTGAACCTCAAACACGCAGCCATCCGGGACCTGATACACTGGAAAGAATTGGTCAAATCACCGTCTACGCGCCCTCTCCATCACCAAACGGCCACAATGGCAATGCACTCCGATGCATCAACCTCAATCGGGATGGGAGGGACACTGGGACACGACCTCAGGATGGCGGAACCAGGGGTCTGGGAAGCGAAAGGGCTCTGGGATCCGCATCTGCGTACGAAGCCCATCACCTTTCTGGAACTCAGGGCAGTAACGGACAATCTGAAGGCATTCGCAGACGACCTTCGCACGGGGACCCATCTCCGCGTATGGGAGGACAATCAGGCCGTGGTCCACATACTCAACACGATGACCACGCGCTCACCAGCCCTCATGAAGGAATTGCGGGCGCTACACAGGGTACTGCTCAAGCTGGGAATCTCAATCGAGTCACGATACGTCCCTTCTGCCGTCAACCGCTTCGCAGATCGCCTCTCTCGCTTTCGTTCACTGGACGACTGGAGGATCAACACCCGGACAATCAGGGCGCTCTTACACGAGATGGATCCAACAATCGACCGGTTCGCGGATCAAGAATCAACGATCTGCCGCCAGTTCAACAGCCGCTACCGCTCACCGGGATCCTCAGGAATCGATGCGCTACAGCAACATTGGGGACAAAAGATCAACTTCTGGAACCCACCGCTCAAGCTCATCCCACTCGTCGTGGAGGAGATCATCCAGGAAACGGCACAGGGCTTCCTGGTCACCCCGGGGTGGCCCACTCAGTCGTGGTGTCGTCGCCTCAAGGAAATCGGAACGTTTCAGCTGTTTCAGGCGCCAGACGTCTATCTACCCCCATTGTGGGCACCACAGCACCTGCCGGCCCCACCATGGAAAATAGCCATCTGGACGATACGCAGCAACTTCCGCTAGCCGCTGCGCTTCGTGGCTCAGTTCTACGCGCCGCCGGAGTCTGAATGTCAGGCGGAGGAACTACTATCGCTGGTCTGATTCATCGCGCTCGGGCGCCCAACACCTGGAAATGCAATGAGCGATTCTGGCAGAAGTGGGCTAGGTTCTGTACTCTGGAAAGGATCGAACCATGGACTGCTGAAGAAGGATCTCTGTTCAGGTACCTCGGTTGGCACTTCGACTCAGGCACGATTGCTGGGGGATCAGTCAAGAATTACATCTCAGTAGTGGTAACGGCCCACAAACGAGTCAAGTTGCCCGTGGAATACACCCCGCTCATCCAGCTCGCGTTGGCCGCCTACCAACAATCTGACCTAGATCGCCGCGCCGAAAACGACCCGGACGCACACAAGGAACGACGGGCCCTCCCGAGCACCATAGCCAAGAAAATCTTCGACGCTGCTATGGCCGCTCCTGCTCTCAACCGTCAGTTGATTCGCAACGCTACTGCGGTTCTGGTTTCCTACGTCTTCTTCGAAAGGGGGGAAGCTGGCGCTGCGCTTCGCATGGACAACATTCAAGTTTCGGAACAATCGATTGACTTGGCAATTGCTTTACGGAAAAATCGGTCTCGCGTGGCACATACTCTATCCTACACTAGGCTAGCTCCTGACAAGCCATCGCTCATCGACTTGGTCTTACGGTACGACCGTTACCGCCGAAACACCCGCTCCACAAGTCGCTACTATTGGGACCTCCCGGGCCAACGGCTCACACCGTCATCGGCAAGCATCTCACGTTGGCTCCAAGCTTGCCTGACTCACGCTGGCGTCACTCCCCCTCCGCAAGTGTTGTGGTCCTCACACTCGCTTCGCATGGGTGCCGCATCGGAATGCGCTGCAACAGGAGTCCCTTCCTACCGCATTGGCATCTGGGGGGATTGGAGTGTCGCTCGCACAATGAAAGAATCCTATCTCGACGCTCGCGTACAGCCGTGCGAGGATTCCGTCTTCTTTTTCGGACACCTGTCCGAAATCTCGACTACTCCCTATGGAGTTTCTTCAACACTATTCAGTGCATTCATTGGCAATTGAAAGGTGAATTTGGACAAGGGGGCTTTTCGGTTGGAACGCACGACAACTCAGCAGAAAGTGGAAAACAAGTGGACCATTTCAGCCGCACCAAGCCAAGTCAGGATGACTTGGCGACAAGTCAGCGCCAAGCCACACGCCATGATTTGGAATGATTCTTCGTTCCCGTAATGAAGGACTTGGCAAAAGCAAAAAATCAGCACCAAGTCACTAATGACTTGGTACTGTTTCTTCATTCGCGTAATCAACACTTGGCAGAAAATGAATCATCACCAAGTCACACGCAATGGTTTGGTACCCCCACTATGACTTGGAAATGATTGCGAATAATTCTTCATTCGCGTCATGGAACTTGGCAGAAATGGAAATTCGGCCACTGTCCGAAAACAGGGCTGTATAAGAGAGGCACGTCAAACTCTCTCACCACTCTTCTCTCTTCCTCAAGTCGTCGCTTGTTCTCCCACCATCCCACTCTCAGCTTCGGTGCTGAGTCATCAAGTCATCACTGGTTCTGTTCTCTCGCTACTCTTTCTTGTATGGCTTAACCATTCGAGAATGTTTTTCACACACACGCTGGGTAAGATAACGCGATCTCCTGTCGCTACTCACGCCCTCTCATCCTGGAAATGCCCCCTCATCCTGAAGCTTACCGAAGCAGAACTCGAACTCAGGTGAGTCATGGACGCGGGCCACGTATCAAGCCGAATGTGGTCCTCACCCGCCGAAGCGGGTAGTATCGCAAGGATAGCGGCCCGAGGTGGCATGGAAACGCGCGCCACTACGCTGCTCTGGCCGTTGTATCAACGTTTATGTCCACACCAATTGGGGACAGCGAAAGACAGGGGGCAATCCTCTGGAATTCAAGGAACGGTAAGCATTTCTAGGCCGAGATCTTTAGGTAATAAAGCGTAATCTTGTTTCTTCAACACTATTCCGTGCTCCAAACGTTCTATCCTCCCCGATCACGATTGCACATCAGACAACATCAAATACCACCTTGGGCGTAAGCATGGCCGATTTTTACATAGCCCTAAGCATTGCAGTCATCGCAAGCCCTGCGGCCGCGCCATGGCAATGCCGAGTTCAACAAGCTCCTCATCTCTTTTCTCATCTCACGATTCATCGGGCACGTCAATTCTGGGTCCAATTCTAGGTTCAATTGTGGCGGCTATCACTGATATGGCCGCGCCAGCGATAAAGGGGTCCAGGCCCGGAAGGGCTCCGAATCGCGACAGACAAAGAGAAGCGCATGAGCGGGTGCTCCAGGCTGACTATTTCGGCCTGAATGGGAGGCCGCCAGTGTTCAGCGAGAACGACTTCGAGAGAGACTCCCGCATGCCCCGCTCTGTATACCGCAGGCTGCGGGCGGGCGTATTGCACAACATGCCGCAGTACTTCGAGCAGCGCGCTGACGCAACCGGTTTGCTCGGGGCAAGCACAGATCGGAAAGTTGTTGCAGCGATTTGGCAACTGGCAACCGGAGTGTCTGGCCAAGCGATCACCAAGTACAACAGACTTTCAAAGTCCGCAAACGCAGAGTGCCTGAAAAGCTTTTGCAAGGCTGTCGTCTCCCAGTTTAAGGGGGAGTACTTGCGCCTCCCAACGCCGGAAGAGCTGGTATACATTGAAGCGGAGTACGCGAAGCGCGGATTTCCAGGGTGTATTGGCGCTTGTGACTGCGCTGGGTGGGTATGGGGCATGTGTCCAACAGCAGATCACGGCGCCTACAAGGGAAAGGGAGGCAAGCCCGAAGTTAGACTAGAAGCAATTTGTGACTTCGATATGTATATCTGGTGGCTATACTTTGGTACAGCTGGTGCGGCAAACGATTTATCTATTGTTTCCGAGTCACCGCTTTTCAATGCGATTCGCGCCGGTTCATGGCCACCGCAGAGTCCGCAAGGGATCGTGGAGGGCCTATCGTTGACGTGGTACTATTATCTAGTCGATGGGATATACCCACGATTTAGAATTTTCGCCCCTCCGCTACCATATTCAACAACTGCAAAGGGCAAGTTATATTCAAAGAGGCAAGAAGCAGAGCGCAAGTCTGTGGAAAGGCTCTTCGGAGTTCTTTTCAAGAGATTCAATATTCTCTTTCAGCCATCTCGCCTTCATCGAAAAGCGGACATGCGGGTAGTTGTTCAAGCCTGCGCTATCATACATAATATGGTAGTTGCTGCCCGCCGTGATGGATACGCGGGCCCTATAATGCGCGTAGATGCGGATGCCATGCGTGTTGTAAGAGCTCAGCAGCCTGCCAGCGAAGCTGAGCTGCTGGAGTTTTGGGGAACATACATGGATGGAACCGATGATCCCAAGCAGCAGCAAGCTCTTCTTGAGGCTCTCCAAGATCATATATGGCGAGTTTCTGGGGCAGACTCGTAGTGCGTAGCAAAATAAAGCGATCTTGACACCGCAGTACTCCGGCCTCACATTCTGCCCAAAAAAAGAGAAAGCGTCAGCGGATTGGATGAGCGACGTTGTTCTGACTACGGGGGGTCCACTCGGCGACTGGGGTCGCGTCTGAAAAACGGAATGGCGAACAATCGCCCTCTGCCTTCTCTTTCCAAGGAGGCAGAGGCTACTCTATTTTATTTCACTGCTCACCGCGCGCGAGCGACCCCGCCACTCGCGCTCGTTGCCCCATCCGGGTGCGCAAAAGGGGAAGGCTATAGAACAGACGCACCGCTCGACCATTTGGATTCAGAACAACAACAAAGACTGCTTGCCCGTTGCTCCACATTCTGCTCCTCACAAGGGGGCTCGCACGCGAACGCCGCTACAGATCTGGACTGCCAGTAGTGCTCGCAACTGCCTCATAGCAGCCAGCGGAGCAGAATTTGTAGTCTTCTCCCCAAGCGCGGCTCGCCTCCTCCCATATCGCATTCGCGCATGCGTCGTGCAGCTTTCGCGGCCAGCTGGGGCACGCAACGTTTTTGCAAGACCATTTGGGGCAGCTGGCGCCCCGGATGATACACTTCTCACGCCCAACTGCGCACAAATACACATCATCATCATCGCTGGAGGCATCAGCATCACCCTCAGGCTGCGAGCCTGAGGATGATGCTGATGTCTCCAGCATGGCCTCTTTTGCGGTGCTCAGATCTCGCATGACACCCTCTCGGATATGCTTGGCCAAGGACAACCGCTGGGCCTCGGTGCCGCCCATCGAGTCTGCAAAAACCGTTTGCAGAGCTTGTAGGTGCCACTTCTGCTGAGCTATTCGGGTTCGCGCTCTTTTGCCGTGGGGCCCCTCCGCATCTGCAGTCCTAATCGCAGTGGTAGCCCTTGTGTATTGCTGCACTGAGGACGCGAGATCTTCAAGGGCGGACGATGACGCCTCAGCTTTTCTCTTCTTGGCGGACTTTCTGCCTTGCGGCCTCTCAGCCCCCCCGTCATCGCTCGGGCGTATAACCTCGGGCGCTTCAATATACCAAGTGGCATTAGCCGTGTCGTCGCGATTCGCAGATGGTGCTGAAATGCCTGCAGCTTGATCAGTCGGGCTGGCGCTAGCATCACCAACTTCGAGCACTCTGGAGTGCATCATCAGCCACCGGTGCGCGTCCGGATAGGGAAACGGCGGCCCCAGGTCATACTTCTTGTTCCTAAAGATGTCGGACATAGTTGATGGGATGAACTTCTCCTTGTTGTACGAGTATGTTCCTGCTCGCCATACGTCTTCCTCGGTAGGGCTGCCCGTGAGGTTCATGGCGTCTATGCGCAAGAAAACGGCCATAAACTTTCGACAGCATCTCCTGATGTCCTTGTAGTACTTATACAGCGATCTCCCCGAACAGCCAGTCCATCGGCGGTCGTCAAGCGGGCCTCTGTCGCGCCGGCCGGCTCAGGGTGCCCGCCCGGCTGGTGCTTTAAAAACTCCACTGCCAGTAGGGCCTCAATGTCTGAGGCTTTTTGGCCCGCTCCTATGACCGGATCTGTCATGGCGGCGACCGCAGCCTTGCAGACGGCTACTGCCTCCACTGCGTTCAGTTTCAGGGCTTTTCCGCCCTTGTTCCTTGGCGTAGTGCCGCGCAATGGGCGCTGGCCCAAGCCCGGCGCTAGGGCCCTTCCCTCCTCGACGCTATCGCCATTGTCAGGCAAGACGGTCGCCATTTGGTCGCATTCGCAAGCGCAGAGTGTGCGACCGTGACAGGTGTGGCGAACTGGGACGCCTTCCCCACCTGTGACCCTGGAGACCTTTGATTTCGAGGGCAAATAGTAGGACGTTTCCGTTTGCAGTTTGCAGCTTTTTTAGCGTTGCGCTAAAAATCTGCTGCAAAAAAACGTTTGCAGCAGAAACACTAAAATTGTACAGCAAAATACTGCAAAGTATTATATCGTTCGTCCCGGTGGACACACATTTTTCTCTAAACCTGTGTTGCAAAACTTTTTGCAGCAGATTTTGCGTTTGCAGCGCACCGGTGGACACACCCTTACGGTTTTTGCAGCCACTTCCTTGCATCACCGCTCAGAAAGACCGCCAGCAGGACGCCATCACTCATACTTCGCATCTACACTTCAGACTCAAGTCTAATCAAGCATTTCTGTTATTAGTAGCTGCCGAGCCGTCGCATTATTGACTTCTTCCTTTTTCGCAGCCATATACCGATATAGAACTCACGGGAACAGATACAGGGGGGGTCTCCTCAATAGTTTGCTTTACAATAGTGCACATGACCAAAAGTGCACCCCTTTCAGCAATGTCACAACCCTTGCCAAGTGTACACCTGTGCGCGTGGAGCCATGCCGATGTAGATGCACACCGCTGTGCTGCGGTTGACGACCACGACTGGGCCCCCCGACCACCGATGGCGACCACAGTGACCACCGACCAGACCTATCACCAACAAGCGCCCAAGAAGCAACGTCAAATGTCATATCGGAGCATTTTGTGGCCGGTGGGCTGTTCACAGCGAAGTAATACAGTTAAGGTCCATCCACAGGTCACGTGACCTGTGGAATGACCTTTATTAGTTCGCGCTCTCAATAGTGCGTATCTATAGCTGATGGCACGAGGGTGCACTATTGAGGGGTACCTACTGTATCCGAAATGATTTCGCAGAATTTTGAGTAAGAGCAAGTCTAGTGTCTATTCGACACAAAAAATCCTCATTTGAGTCAGGTGCTAACTCATGTGAGGAGGGTCGTTTCTGGTATAAGTGTGTTGTCGTGATCGAACTTTTAACCCTCAAGAGGGGCGATAAAGAAGATTTTTGGCAGGCATTCTTTAAGAAGGACATCTGTGTACCTAAGGGTCGACGGTGGCGAAAGGGAACAGGGAATAGACAGAAGATACCGCGCGACGGCGGTCGGTACAGAAGGACACCACGGCATTCTCGCCGAACCGACCGGCCATGGACCTGTGGGTGTCGAGCGCTCTGGTAAGAAATTGGCCAACAAGGAAGCGACACAAAAGCGACGTCGGAATGTGCTCTCCCGCCGCTTGCGGAGGACATCATCTGCAGGTTCAAAAAGTACCCGCGATATGGTCAGACGCGTGGGTTGAGGTGCAGCTCGCGGGGAGGCCGAGATATGAGGGAAGGTGGTACGATCCAACTGAGGGTGTGGGAGAGAAGGGCAACTCCAGGAGCAATGGAGGCCGAGTTACCGAAAACTGCGCGCGCACCGTATCAAGAGAGAGCTACGGATGGGGGACAAGCGACTAACGGCGTGTGGACGGGCACAGACAAACACTACAGCGAAATCGGCTCCGACGCTCCGACGCTTAGTTCTGCGACGCAAAGTGCCGTACGGACGGTACCGGAAGCAGCGTCGCTTTTCGAGGGCAACCGCCCCGCGCCACGCCGAGAATAACGGAAGACAAGATCCCCGGAAGAGGGGAAGGCGCCAAGCGAGACGATCTCGTCCCACACGTCTCTCAAGCCCGGCGAAGGAGTCGGGAGTGGCTCAGCGAATGGGAGCTCGTTAATTTTAGCAGAAGCGCGACTTCCATCGCAGCTGCGGTCATCCCGTTAATCCGTCGACGAACCCCCTCTCCCCGACACGATCCTAAGCGCGGCATACCCATAGTGGAGCGACGTTACTCGAACCGTGGCACAGGCTTCCGGAGCGCCCTCGCTCGCCGCCGGTATAACGAGGCGAACCGTACGGAGGAAATCGCCGGCGCCGGCGCCCTCGTCACGACGGCGAGGGACGCCAAATAGAAAACGGGGTTCGCTTCTTCGAGCTCTCGCCTCGACGGCGAGCGGCAGGAAGAAAGATAGCGAATGGCTACGCACCCGCGCCCTTGCCCGATGGCAAGTGGCGCGAAAAGTGAGGCGGAGCACATGTGCAGTTGGCCGAAGAAGGGAAAGGGGCCACGAAAGGAGGTACACGACACACCGCGTGAGGACGGGGTACGAACGACCGCGCTGGCGAAACCGGCTACGACGCTTACTTCCGCGACGCAAAGTGCCGTACGGACGACACCGGAAGGAGCGTCGTTTTTCAACGGCAACCGCCCCGCGCTAAGCAGAGAAGAACGGAAGACAAGCTGTTCCCGCGAGGAGAGAGGAGGCAATTGGGTGGAGGCGTATCCTCCAAGACAGTCGGTTGCATATACGCCACAGATGCGCCATAGCGCAGGGCAACGGTCGGGCCTCGTGCCATCCGACGACCCACTCGGCAAACGAAGCGAACACAAACCGCAACGGATCAGACAAACCCCGCTCTCCCGCGCCTCCGGCCGCCAAGAGGGAGCGATACAATTGGTCAGCACGCCGCACGTCACCACCCTCACCTCTGTCACACCGCACGTCGCTGAAAAAAAGGGGAGAGAAAAGACCGACGAAGCAAAAGGCCCACGGACTCGCGTAAGATCGCGCGGGAAGGGCAGAGGGGGTCGACGCATGCTAAGGAAAGGGACGGGCAGGCGGCACGCACGCAAATGAACGCGAAAGGAGAAACGAAGGACACCGACCGGGGGGCGGAGTCGTTATAGGGAACGGAGGCGATCGTACCGCTGGTGCGGTTGGACATTTCTCTAGCTCTACAACCCGTGGACGCGGACGTCCCCGCTTAAGGGGGGGCCGTGTAGTATAACCCCCCTGGGACTTTTTAGTTAGATTGGATCAACAACGGGATCCAATACTGTAGAGCCCGATGCTCCACAGTATTACCGCGCGTGGCCACGTGTACCCCTCGGGTACAGGCCGCACGCGCGCACACGTGTACACGTGTGCCGCGTGGGACGGAAGCGCGCGCACGCACGTGTAATGTCAGCTACGATGACTGACAGTATGACAGTACGGTCCGATCTGTGCTACAGTAGTCCACTACAGTACTTCGGTACTGTAGTGTTATAGATTGTTTCTGTTAGACTTATTGACTAGACTACAGTAGATATCACATTTCTCTGTTATCAATATCAATTCAGGGACTATGTTGGCTACCTTTGGCTATCAACGATAGAGTCCCTTAAGGACGTGCCACCTACAATTCTACCTGTTTTAGGGTGTAACCGTTTAGACACATTTCGTGGGTGGCGCAACCTCCCTTTTATGGTAGTGCCCCTACTTTCATTGTAGAGTCAATAGGACTATAAAGCCAGGTCGAAGACGCTACTCGTCTCCGACCTCAGCACATTCGATCACCTGAACCATCAACCCGACAACCCAGTCCCCTGACCTTGCTCACCGTCTGTAGCGGTTCTGAGGCAATAGCCTGCCGCTTTTCCCCCTTCCTTTAAGGTAACCCTATTTACCACCCTTTTACCCATCACTAAAATCCCCTCCGGACCGCCCC